AGAATTTTTGTTTCAATTATTATTTTTTTTAGTATTTTTAATTAGTAATTATAAAAAATTCAATGCTTTCTATTAATGCAGTTTTATACTTTTCTATTATGAATTCATTTGAAATTATTTATTCTTAATTTTTAATATTTTATTATAATAAACTATAAAATTTTTATAAATATATGCTTTTTTATTATAAATTAGTATAATTATAAATTGTTACCTACTAAAATTTTATTTCATTAATACTTTTATATTAAAATTTACTTTTATATATTAAGATATTATTTTTACTTAATTTTTATTAGTTTATTATTTAATATTATAAACATGGAATAATTATATGCTTTTCTAGTATAAATGCATACAAGTTTAAATTATTTTTTACTTAAATATTATATCATAATTACTTTTCTTTTTATATTTAAATTCGTTATTTTAATTTATTATTCTTTACTTAATTTTTATTATTTTATTATAAAATATTATAAACTTTTCTATAATTATATGCATTTTTATAATAAATTTAAAACATTATAAATTATTTTTAACTCAAAATTTTTTATTTTATTATATTTAAAACTTTTTCATTTAAAATTTTCTATATAATTAGATTCACAACTTAAAATTATTTTTTACTTTCTTCATTCAATCTTTAAATTTTGGAGTTTTTTGTTATACTTTTATAATTTTATTTAATTATTTTTCTAAATTTTTATTTTTTACATTAAAGTTACTATTGTTAGAAATTTGAAGCTTTTTTTACTAGTACTTTTTTATAGTAATTATACAAACTTATAAACTTTTCAATTATACTTTAACTTTTTTAAGTTATAAATTTTACTTAATTTTAATAATTCAATAGAAAATTTTAATCTTTTTATTAATTTTATTTATACTTTTTATTAATAAATTAATTTTATAATTTTAATTATTATTTTTTTCTTTCTTTCATTTTACTTAAAAATTATACAAACTCTAAAACTTTTCAATAATGCTCTAATTTTTTCTAATTTTAGTTTATAAATCTTATTTGATTTTAATTATTTAATTAAAATTTTAAACTAATTTTTTTTATTAATAAATTTATTTTATAATTTAAAATATTAATTCTTATATTTATTTTAATAAAAAAATATATAAACTTTAAAACTTAAATTTTTTTTTAATTTTACTTAATTCTAATATTTTTAAAATTTTTGTAAATTTTTTTAATTAGTTTTAATACTTTTTATTAGTAAATTTATTTTATAATATAAATTAAATCTTTTTTTACTTTTATTTATTAAATATTTATCTAAAATATTAGGAGCTTTTCCAGACTCCACTATTGACAGAGAACTTCTTGCTGATTACCTTTTGCATGTCTTAAATGTAGAACAAGAATTTAAGTAACTTATCGGAATTTATAAATTTTGTCAAGAAATTTTATACTTTAGAAAATTTCTTAGCTCATCATTTTCTTTACTTTATAATAAAATTCGCTTATCATTACACAAAAAAAAAATGGTTTTTTGATAAATATGTTTAAATTTCGAAGTAATTTATCAAAAAGTTTAGCAATCTTCATTCTCAAAAGTTTTTACTTTTTGGATATAATAAAACTTGATACTTGCTATGGAATTAAAAAAATTAATTTTGTAGTAGTTCAGTTCTGAACTTGTGTTAATAATTTTAAAATTTTACTTCCAAGGTCTAATAAACTTGTTGCTTACTTTGGAATTTGAAAAAATTTTCTAGTAAAACAGTTTTGAGCTTGTCTTAAAAACTTAATTATTAGAATTTTTCTTTGAAATAGTATTAAACCTGATAGTTACTATGAAATTTAATAATAGTTTTGTAGTAGTTCAGTTCTAAACTTGATTCTTTAAAATCTCTATTAAATTAAATTTTTTTTATAAAAATCTGTACTGAAAGTGATTACTTACAACATAACTTTAATATATTTATCTAACCTTAAAGGTTTTTACTCTAATTGTTCTCCATTTCTTATCAAATCTTTAAATTTAGTATTCAGTCCTGAAAAATTATATATATATATATATATTTTTGAATTAGATACGTTGAAGTCTATAGACTTTCTGGTCCTACTTATGATATTAATCAACTTTTGCGCAAGATTTCGGCGGCAATAAACAAATTTTTAAAAGGTAAACTCTGCCGCTCATAAAGCCTTTGCCTAATTTTTTTAAATGATTTTTACAAATTTTGAAGGAGGAGTGCACGATACTCTCACTTCAGCTATTCATTTTTTGAAATTATTTAGAACAGGAAAACTTGGAAAGTTCGTGCTTCGCTCCAGTTACACAGAAAATGAAGATTTGGAAGTTCGAAATAATAAAAAATAATAACTTACTTTTTTTTATAAATTAAATTTTTTAATTTGTGAGTTGTGTTTCATTTTCATTTTAAAAACATTAAAATCTTAAAATCATAATTTTTTTATAAATAATAAAAAAAGTTATAAACAGCCCTTCGGCTGACAATGTAAATTAAGTAGTTTCATATTACATTCAAAAATAAACTTTTGTATCCCCGGAAGCAGCCTAGATAAAGTTCTAAAGAATATAAAAAGTTGAAGTAAATAAATTAAGTTAATATAACAATAGAATTAACCTTTTAAAAATAAAATAAAATGTTAACTGGTGCATAAATTTATAATAAAAAAAAAAGATTTACAAGTTTATCTATAATAAATAAACAAAAATATTCTAAAAAAATTATCTGCCCCAAAGTATTCAAGATTTTCATTTTAGTAAGTAAAATAGAAGAATAAAGGTTGCTTCAATTTTTTAAATAGATAATGAATTTAATAAATGTTAGAAAAATATTGATAAAAATTTAAAAATTACCTTTAATAACAAGTACTTTGAATAAAAAATTATAAATTCAACAAAAAATGATTTCAAGAAATAATAAAAAAGAGTAATAAAAACTAAAAGATAATTAATTTTTAATAAAAAAATTAAAACATCTGGAAAATTCAATTGCTTTACAGTATAGTATATTTCTTGAATTACTCAAACAGAATTTAATTTTAACGGATTCTGAAAAAGGTAATAAAAAAACCAAGAAAAAATTAACAAATAATAACAAAATATAATATAATCTAAAAGAATTCACTTGCTTAGTTGTAGAGTAATATTTTAATTAAACAGGAATTATTTTAACATACAGTAAAAAGAGTAATAAAAACAAAAAAGGTAAAAATTAATTTAAAAAAAAAGGAGTCTTAAAAATTTACACGCCTTTAATATTTTTAACAAAATTTTTATTGCTAAGTAACAAACAATTTGTGAAGTAATAAAAACTGAAAAGATATATAACAAATAATGACAAAATATTAAAAAATTTTTTTTAGTGTTAAAGTATTTTAAACAGGAAACGTTCCTACCCGAACTTTTAAAAAAGGATTAAAAACAAAAAAAATTAATAACAAAATAAAAATCTAAAAAAAGTCTTATGTACAATATATATATTATTCAGTAAAATAAAAGCTTCTGTTTGTTGGAACAGATAATAACTTAGTCGAATAATACAACAAAGTAATAAAAATAAAAAAACTTAAAAACTATTCCATTTTTGTAAACTCAAATTAAAATTGTATTTCATTCAAATAAAAGTTTTCAGAAATAAGGAATTTAGTAAATCATTTTATATAAAAAAACCCATAAAGAAGTAGATGCTCTTAAATTTCTTACTTTTTATAATAAAATACGCGCGATATGTTAAAATAAGCCCTTCTATGAAACATTATATACTCAATTGCTTCTGGTAATTCTTTAAATTCTCACAAAAGGATATATTCAAGTTCAATACTTAAAATATATGAGTTAAATATATAAAAATAAAATTTCTATTCTTTAATATATTATATATGTACTACCGAAGCGCTTACTAAATGAAATAGTAAAAACACTTTTTCAACTTAAATCTTGCATTTTTTTTCTTAAAAAAATACCAACCGATAAGTTTTTACAAGTACTGATAATAGTTTCTTTTCTACTTGAACAAAGTTGACACGTTGGTCGTATTGTTAAGCAGAAGTAAAGCTTACGTCATAAAAAATTTTAAAAATATATTTTCGCTATCACTCATATAACAAAGGGGAAAACCAAGGAAAAACCAAAGTTAGCGAGGGCCTATACAAATAAGGAGCAGCCTTACCCTCTTCATCAGTCGCCATTACTCTTCTAGATAAAGTTTTACCATCACCACCTTTTTTTTAAAAATATCATATTGTTACGTAAAAGGCTTCTTATTGCAAAAAGAAAAGTAGCTTTATCCATATTAGATACTTTATAATGAGAAATGAACTTGCTTTATTCTTCTTCACTTAACGAAAGTTTAATTCAAGAAGTTTGGAAACATAATTTAAAGGAAGAAATGTTAAAGATAATGAAAGTTTTAGAAAAATACAACTACATTTCAATGGTTTTTAAAAACGACTTAATAAATTTATAAGTTTAAATAAATAGTTTATTATTATAAAAGGTTTAGGATACTTCGACAATTTTTTTTATATATTACACTCTAATAACAAATACTTAAGTAATTAAAATTTTTATTGTAGGATACTGAATTTCCCGGCACAGTGGCCAGGCCTTACAACTTTCCTAGAGCTTCTTTAGAATATACATATCAACTATTGCGGTGTAACGTCGATCTTTTAAAAATTATTCAGCTGGGCCTCACTTTTAGTGATGAAGATGGAAACGTACCAGAAGGGACGTGTACGTGGCAATTTAATTTTGAATTTACTTTAGGAGGAGACATGTACGCTCCTGACTCTATAGACCTTCTAAAAAGGTTTTTTTTAAGTTTAGTTTAATTTTAAAGTTATATTATTATTATTTATATTCTTGAAATGTAAATTTTATGAATTATTTTTAAAAAAGATCAGGAATTAATTTTGAAAAACACTCTGTTGATGGAATTGATGTCCAAGCTTTTGGCGAACTACTTTTCCAATCTGGAAGTCTGCTTAACCCAGAAGTAAAGTGGATTTCATTTCAAGGGCAAGTTTTGATTATCCTGGTTTTTTTTAATACAGATTTAATTTTTTTTATAAATTTTAATAAAATGTATATCATTTGTTGTATTGACTTTCTATAGGTATATGGATTACGGTTATTTAATTAAAATCTTAACCTGCAAGAAACTTCCGCTAGAAGAAAGCGAGTTTTTAAAAGTATTAGAACTTTACTTTCCCAGCACATACGACATCAAGTATTTAATGCGGAGCTGTAAAAAATTAAAAGGCGGCCTTCAAGATGTCGCTGATGACATGGAAGTTAACCGAATCGGACCGCAGCATCAGGCCGGAAGCGATAGTTTGCTCACTTGCGTTACCTTTTTTAAGATGCGCCGAATGTTTTTCGAAGATAGAATTGATGATGAAAAATATAAAAATCGCGTGTTCGGACTCGGATCCCCGCACACTACAGGACCCAATAGTCATTTTAACTTTTTTGATTCGCAGAGTTGAGTGCGTTCTTTCTAAATTTCAGGTAATTTTTTTAAAAAAAAAATTAATTATTTAGTAAACTGGATTTGTTGATTCAAATTTAAGTTTTTTTTTATTTTTTTGAATAATTACTGACTTGAATATTTTTTTTATATTGATTTTATCAATTACTTGAGTTATCATTGTATAGAAACTATAAATTATATAAATCGTGAACACACATATATATCAAAGAATTTTTCATATTTTATACAAAGTATTAATAATAAATTATGATAAATTTATATGTAAAAGTTATTTCCCAGTATGTTTATAATTTCTTTTATTTTTTTTAGAATCGAAATAGCTTTTGACACACTTAGCTTGATATTATAGAAAAAGTGCGGAAAATGGGATGAAAATTTCCACAGCTCCCTGCATTGACAGCAGGATAAATGTTTTGTTCTAATATAAGCGCGTTTAGTTAAAATTTATTAAAGAAATTTTTTTTTAATACTTTTATTATTATTATATAAAAAAAGTTTATGTTATAATGAAAAAAACTACAAGAGTTTAAAATAATATAAAAAATAAACAATAAAAAAGTTTTACTGCTTACGATTATTTGAAGAGTGATGTGCAAAAGAAAAATAATTTATTAAAAGAATAATGAAGTAAATATTTTTATACTAAAAAATAGATACTTTTATATGTTTTTAAACACAGTTTTAATTTTTAATTATAATAAAATAAATTGTATTATTTATTTATCAAGTTATGTAAAAAAATTTTATAATATAAAAAGATTTAACAAATTTTTAAAGTTTAAAAAAAAAAGGTTAACATTTTTTAAATTTCAAAGTAAACATTAATAAAATAAATTTTTTTAGTTTTTTATGACAAACTTATATGAAAGAAAATTAATAAATAAAAAATTTCTGTAAACTTTAAATAAATTTATTAATGATAAATTTTTAAATTATTTTATGAATAGGTTATATAAAAGGTTGTTTTAAAAGTTTTTTATTAATACAAAAAAAAGTTAACTTTCTTAAATATAGTAAATATTAATAAAAAAAGAGAACTCAATAATTTTTCATACATAAACAAAAAATAATAAATAAAAAAGTTATTCTTAAAATATTTTAAAGTATTATACAAAAATTTATATTTAGTAACTTTATAAAAGTTTTAAAAGTTTCATTTGTTATTAATACAAAAATTATAATAAAATGATGGTTTAATTGATATTTCCTAGTAAATACTTATATCAAAGATAACTTTTAATAACTTTTTATACAAGAGACTTTTATTAACAATAAAAAGTTATTTAATGTATTTTTTAATCAGTTTTATATATTTTTAAAAAAATATTAAAAAGAATAAAATAATATTATGTTTTATTATAAATAAGTTTATTAAAATTAATTATTATAAAAAAAAGAATATATAACCTTTTTAGATTTTAGAAAGCTTTATTTATAATTATTTTTTTAAAAAGAAAATTATAATTAAAAATAAAAACTTTTTTATGTATATCATATTAAATATTTATAAAAAAAAGGAAACTATTAATATTTATTTAGATGTAAAATTTTATAGAAAAATAAATTATAAAAGTTAATTTCAATAATATTTATTAGTTTTATACAGTTATCAAAAAAAATTATATATATATAAACTTCTATTAAAATGCTTTTAGGGAAAAAAATAATAAAAGGTTTTTTATTATAAATTTGTAAAATATAAAAAATACAAAAATGCATTAAAGATTTTATAAGATAATAATTTATTAATTATAAATTTATTAACTCTTGCAATTTTTTTTTTATTACAGTAAGTTTTTTCTAATAGTTTCTTTTTTGCTAAATTTTAAACAAAAACGACTTAAAAAACTTTTAATATATTTATCAATTTTATTTTATTTCAAGAATTTTTTTAATATAAATTTTTCGCTAAATTTTTGCAAGAATGATTTAAAACAAAATTTTTTTTTAGATTAATAATTTTTTATATATTTACTTTTTTTTCCTATACTTTAAAAAATGTTTTTTATAAAAAATTGGTATAAAATTTATTTTTTATGAAATTTGAGATTTTAATAATTTATTTCATATAATTTTTTTTATTTTAATAATTTGTTCAATTTTAACTCTTTTGTTACATTGCAAACAAAATGATTTAAAAAATAATATTTTATATAAAATTTATATGTAAAAGTAATTTTTATTTCATTAATTTTTAATATATACTTCTTCGCTAAATTTAAAACTGTTTTTAAATTATTATTTTTTTAAAAAAATTTTTTACTATAAAATTTATTTTTATGAATTTTTTAATAATGATCTTTTAGCTAAATTTTGAACAAAAATGAGTTTTTTTTTTAATTTTTTTATTTTAATTATTTTTTTTTATTTTCTTATAAATTTTAAACAAAAAAAGGATTTTCAATAAAATCTACCGTAAATTTTTTTAACATAAACTTGTTTACTTAGTTTTTATTTTATAATTATAATTATTTATTAATTTTTTAAATAACTTTTGTAATAATTATTTCAATTATAATTTATTATGGAAGTTTATTTCAATTATTTTTTGTTTTAGCTCTTCTATCATTTTTTACGTATTTTATATTATTAATTTTTTATTTTTTTGTTTTTTAGTAAATAATATAACCTATTATATATTCATATAATTTATTATTTTTCCAAAAAAAGTTTTTTTAAAAAAAAATTAAAATATTATCAAATTAAACAGAAAAAACATATAATTTACATTTTAAATAATAAAATAAAATAAATGAGGCATTAAATAAAATATTTATGTAATATATAAATGTATAAAAAAAAATAAAAAAGCAGATTAATGAAAGAAAAATTTATTAATAATTTTAATAATTAATAATTAATTATTACTATAATATTTTATAAAAATGAGATAAATATAAAGTAAACAATTAAAATTATATAAAACTATAATGAAGTAATAATAATTATAGTAAAAAAAAATAGTAATAAAATTGAAGGATTTACTTGCTATGATCATTATTAATAATTTTTATAACTATCTTATATATTGTGATTATTATTTTTATTATTAATTGTTAATTTATGTGTTATTATTGTTATCAGTATATTCGTTAATAATAATTATTATCATTATAACTCTATAAAAGTCTTAAACGTAAAATTTATAAAAGTATTATAAAATGAAATACTATATTAATTTTTATCTTTATTATGAGCAAATTGTTAATATATTTTTGTATGCTTAAATTATTATAATAAAAAGCTTATAACAGTAATAATAATACTTATAAAAAATAGTTTTTAACCTTATAAATGTAATAATAATAAATTATGTAATATAAAATTTTTTAATTACCGCTGAATTTATATATAATAATTAATAAATTTAATGTAATATACAAATCGTTGCAGATTATCGCTAAATTTATTTAAAATATTAATAAATATAATATAATATATAATAACTTTTAAAAACTTTTAAAAATTATCGCTAAACTTTTTATAATAGTAATAAAAGTTTAAATTAAAATAGTAAAAGCTATACAAAATTAAAAATTTACTGTACAAAGAAAGTTTTAAAAAAAAGTAAAGTTTTTTTAAAATTTTAAAACATAAATTTTAATAGTAAATATAATAAAAATTAAAATTTTTATTTTTATAATAATTTTAAAAGTTTATAAGAAAATTTAAAGTTTATAGTAATTTGATAGTAAAAGTTATAAAAGATTAAAGTTTTACTATAAAAAAAAAGTTTTCAAGAAATTTAAGACATGAGAATTTTATATGAAATGTTAAAAGTTTATAATAAAATAAAATAAAGTTTTAAAAATATTTCAATATTAAATTTTATTTACAGAAAAAGTTATATAATATTTTAATTTTATTCTAAAAGAAATAAAGTTTTTAAAAATTAAAAAATATTTAAATAAATTTTGTAATAAAAGTGTTATAAAATTTTAGAAGTTTATTATAATATTTAAGATTATAGGAATACTTAAAATATATAATAATTTTACAGTAAAATTTATGAAAATTAAAGTTTACTATAAAAGAATATTAAGTTTTTAAGAAATTTTAAATCATATAAGAATTTTTTAATAATAGTAGTTAAAATTAAAAGTTTATCATAAAATAAAATAAAGTTTAAATAAATTTAATAATAAAAGTTATTAAAAAATATAATTTATTATAAAAGAAAAAAAGTTTCAATAACATGAAAAAATATTATATAGTTTTATATTAAAAGTTAAAATTTTTCCAGTTTATCATAAAATAAAATTAAATTTAGCACAAATTAACTTATAAATTTTTTAACAAAAGTTAGAGAAAATTAATATTTTACTGTAAAAAAAGTATAGTTTAAAAAAAATTTAACAATAGAAATTTTACAATAAATTTTTTTTGAAAAATAAGAGTTTGCTATAAAAAATGGTTTTTAAGAATTTATAATATTTAATAAATCTTACAGTAAAAAAAAGTATTAAAAAATTATAATTTTATCATAATATAAAATAAAGTTTCAAAAAAATTAATAATATAAAATAAATTTTTATAGTAAAAGTTATTAAAGTTAAAATATTATAAAATAAAATAAAATTTTAAAAAAAATTAGAGATTTTATATAAGTTTCTTAGTAAAAATTATAATAAAGCTATTATAAAAGAGGATAAAGTTTAAAAGAAATTTAAAATATATATAGCTAATTTTATTAAAACAGTAGCAAAAAATTAAATTATACTAAAAAAAAAATTATAATAAGAAATGTTTTTAAGAAATTTGGAGTATAAATTAATTTTTATATTAATAATTATAAGAAATAAAAATTTATTATAATTATTAAACAAAAAAAAAATTAAATTTTTACAAAATGAATAATAATTCGTATAAATTTTAATGAATTTTGA